GGGTGTACTTTTCTCCTTAGTATATCCCTTCACATTTTTTTTACCCACTTCTTTTCTGAACTAGTCCTTTCTCTCCATTTAAAGCTGATGAACGTAAAGGTAGTTACAGTAATATTTGGATTATTCTCTTACAGGACTATACTAATTTAGACTAATTGCATCTTTTACTGAAGTTTTCCTGGTGAAAGTTCTGTTTCCAGACTATTACACCACAAACAATGTATTTCAGGCTTTTCCTGCACATGGTCAAGGGTTTTGTTTATGTTGTTTTTTAATCCAGATGATTTCCAACATGTAATTTAGATAGCAATTGTATCAGTATGTGCCCCAAACAAAAGAAGGAGCCATAACCCCTCAAAGGTTGATGAGAAAGTGTCTAGGATAGGGAACCTCTTCCACAGGATAAGCCATGAAGAAATAGCACTAATAAAGCAAATTTTGAAAGGATGAGAATGTGGATTTTGATGTATTGTATATTCTTTGTAATTTTTATAACATTCCAATTATTCTCAAAGTATGAATAAATAAAGATAAAGCCCTTACTTTTATGAGCTTCTGCATTAGCAACATAAATGAATCCATCCACTACTTCGCACACCTTCTTCACTTGATCTATTACACTGTAGTGCACGGCTTGCTGATTCCCTTCTGTGCTGTTCTCTTGGTAAAACATCTTATTCACAGCAACAGCTTGCTCTGTCCTTGCTCTCCTCCTTTCCACACTGGAAGATATTTCAATATTTCAGTAGTCAGGTTAACTGAGAAAGCAAAACTCAATCCTAAGAGTCTAGGTAGCAGAGGAAAGGGACAAGAAAATGGTATGAACCAGCAAAACGATTTTGCTCCCTCCTGCCCCACCTTCTTTCCTGGTGTTCATATACAGATGGCTAGCAATCTGCATATGAAAATACACCCCGGGACGAATTTATATAGTGTTGCAAAAGGGAATCAACCAAGGTTTCAAGAGGGATTGAAGCACCTGTACTGTAGGTATGTAAGAGGCTTGGAAAAGGTTTATCACTTCCATGTGAAAACTCAGCAATTGAAAAAAAGAAAGGAAAAGCAAAGATATTGATGCTTCAATTTATAGGGAATTTCGATGCATGTGAATGCACATATAGAAGTCACATGACAAAAAGATGAGGAAGGTATGAAATGAATGAGAAACTGTACTTTTTATTTAGCAGAGACCAAATCTTATCTTACCTGGTGGTGGAGTACAATGTCAGAATATTGAATTTTTGACTGTTATTAAACTGAAAACTGACTCCTGATCCAATTCCTACAGGGAAAAAATGAATATATGAGATTACAACTACTTGGCTACTGAATATAATTAAGTAGTAGTCTGAATATTCCAGTGGTGCTATAAAACGGATATATTCAAGCCTAGATACTGCTGCTAGGGGTAGCAGATTTACTATCTTACAATTAAACTTTATACATGCCCTAATTGGTCAGACTATTAATTTAATGAAAATCAATTCAATTATATTAAAAAAAATGAGGCATTTCCATATTTCTGATAATTAGACTTGAACCTAGAAACCCAAATCAGAAAGGAGGCAGACTTGTGTTTCCTAGCTGAAATTGTCATAGCAAAGGCTCTAGTCTGTTAAAGACAAGCTGCATTGAAAAGGATGGAGAGAAATTAAAAAAAAAAACCTAAAAAATAATTTTCACACTTCCTACAAATACAGTTTAATTATTCTAATTCTGATGTGCTGAAATAAACATTAGTTAAAAAGTAATACATTTTTGTCTCTGGTTTGGACTGAAGTGAAATTACAGATGTTCAAAGTTATTCTTTTACACACCAAAAAAAATCCTTCACCTGCTCCTGTAACTCTTCTAAATGAAATTTACACCATTTGACATAATCATGTAAAGGATCAGTCTTGAGTTCTTGTATAAAAACAAAAACGTGTTTTTTAACCCCTCACTGCAAGCAGTAGTACCTAAACGAAGTTCTGTCTGCATTTATCCATTATAACAAGAGCTGTAACATGGAATTTTGGATGAAGTAAATACGAGGAGCAAAATGATCCTTCTGACATTGTGCAAATTTAGTCATAAATTCACTGCAGCTATTAGTTTGTCCCAAATGTTCTCTGCATTTATCCTTCTGAATGAATACAAAGAAAGAAAATGGGTTTTTTCCATGATGTTACTGAATTTTATGGGGACAAAAAAACCCATCCTTTTTCTCTGTTTCTCCAACCACATTTTTTTGTGTTATATTTGTTCACAAAATATAAAGGTCAAAAGCCAGAACCATCATTACCATGAATTTGTCTATGAGGTAGGCCAGCTACTACCAGAATTTCTGGGCACGTCATCATCTTTTGCACTAACGAGTCGTCCAGCTCTTCCAAACCCGGCCCAAACATGGCAAAGCGAGGTTCTGCCTGAGTGACCAGTGATTGCAGGAAGGAAGTCACAGCCCCATACCGGGGTCGGCTTGATCTCAAACTTCTTCTACCCTGAGGACAGCTCTTTTTGTATCTGTGTAAAATAGATGCAACTAGAAATTAAACACAAGATACAGAAAAGGTATTAATCAAACAACATAAATTGACTTAGGTCCCACACTTCTTATGCTTTGCTACTGGTTCAACTCAGAAAGCATAGGTCAAAAATTATAGAGTTCCAAACTGATGCTTTCAAACACCAGTACAAAGCAGGCAAAGACATCCGTTGTTTTGAAGTCCAAATACTGACTTTTTGGACCTTGTTATGTTGCTATCAATAGATCCTTCAGTTTATTTAAAATAAAATAAAATAAATTAAAATAAAATAAAATTACACATTCCCCCACCCTCATTGAACACACAATACAGATAAAATAACATCAAAGCAGATGAGTCACATAAATTAGGAAAATTAGACTGGTGAGTGTGCATTTCAAACTTTAATTAGACTGCATCTGTGCTTGAATCAGGTAACCACCTGAAATGGACCGTGTCCCCTGCAGGTACAGAGCATGCATGCTGTGAAAGATGAGTGTTGTTTGCAAGCCTATACGCTCGCTTGGTGCACAAGCTAGAAAACGTGAAAAGACTTTGGTAACCAAGGGGAAGGGTAACAGTAAGACAGATATCCTAGAGCAGCAGCTTCAGTCTGCTTCTGCAGTCATGGTAGGCTGTTGCTGGACAAACTACTTCTAAATGAAATTTACACCCTGTGACGTGATCATATAAAGGATCAGTCTTAAGTTCTTGTATAAAAACAACAAATGTCTGCTCTTCTACACCTACACTGAGATACTTCAGTTGAGATCAGCAGAACCACTAAGTGCACACAGACACAATAGAAATCAGTGGGAGGTGGTTTCAAACAGGTGATGCTCTGAAGTATTCAGACCTGAAGAGATTTAAATCCAATTTCAAAATCAGTATATATTTTGCACTTCAAATTCTGGGTGCATTGTTCCTGTCTGTAAAGTGGGGCTGAAGGGCACAGAGATTGCAGAAGCTAGTCCATTTAACGTGAAAAAACACGTTAAGCATCACTTTGGAAAATTTAACTGCAAATAAATAAAAAACCCCAAACAAACCCACGAACCACTACTACAAATTAATCAATGGAATTGAATGAAGTTAAAAAAAAAATCCCACAGAATAATCTGCTTAAGAAGTTCTTGTCAGTCATCTAAACACATTGTGAGTGTTGCTATTCTTGTCAACTATACTATCTGAAACCAGTCTTTTACAGCCTTCAACAATCAGAGCTATAGCAATACTACTTGTTCTTCTGTGCACATTCAAAAAAACTTTTTTTTATCATTAGGTCTTCCATGTAAGATGAAAAAAATAAAGATTCATTCCACTTGCCGTAGTTTGAAAACTTCTTAGTACTTTTATTAAAGAAGAAATCACTTGCCATTGTACTGAGAGCAAAGAACACTTCTTATCAACAGTATGCAGAGCTTTTGAGATGACTGTATTTCTGTGGCATAGCAAAGCATAGCAAAGAACAGCTTTAATTAGCTCTTTTTTTACAATGTCTTACATTCCTGTTGAGCTACAAACAGAAAGAGCTGACCAGATCATCGAACAGCAGGAAACTGTATTTCCAAAATAAACGATGGATAAAAGATCAAAACTTAAACAGGAGATTACAGCAGAGCTTTATTGCTGTATACATGAAACATGCCTGTGGGCTGAGTATTACTTCTGAAGAGAGACTGAAAGTCGTGTAAGGGAACACGAAGATACTTACACTGCCATGTAATCATACAGTGCCTTATCGCTGGCCTCTGAAAAGGCTTTATTAAAAACCTCCACATCTGGAAGCGACTTCCAATCAACAGACGCCCAGAGGGGGAGATCCCGCAGGAGAAAATACCTCCACAACAACGGGTCCCGCACCGCCGCCCTCCAGTAACTACTCGTGCTTCCCAGGTGGCACAGATCTTGGGGCGAGAGGAAGGACATGATGTTCAGCTGCACGTCGATCTGAAAACCAGGGAGAGCAGCGGTTTAAGCGACTCGGGAATGTTCCGCGGCGGAGCCGGGATGTCCCGACCCGGGCCCCACTCACCGGCAGCCTCTGCAGGGCGCTCGCCTCCTCCGCATCTCCGCATCTCCCGGGAGCGCTGGATGCGGGGGGGCCGCGAACGCGGCGGGACCGCCGCGTTCGCGGCCCCCCGCATCCAGCGGCTCCCGGAGAAACGCGCAGCCCACCCCTCACCGCCGCTTCCAAGCCTCCTCCCCGCTCTCTCCTCCCTCAGCAGCCATGGCGCCGCCGCCGCCCCTCACACCCGCAGCGCGCCGGCGCCGCGGACTTTGCACCGCCGAGGAGGCGCCGCGCCATCCTGCCCGAGGGCTGGTTACTTGGCAGCTTTGTTGGAGTGTGTGTGGGGGGGGTTTGTTTTGTTGGGGTTTTTGTTTTGTTGGGGTTTTTGTTTTGTTGGGGTTTTCCCACTCCCCCGCCCTTTCCCCTCAGAAATACTGGATTACACTTTGGACCTCGGCATTCCAGTTCTTTGAGACTGTGCGTGTGGGTTTTTGTTTTTTTTTTTTAATGCAGCAGAAGTATACATTTCGATTTAAAAATTAATAATAATAATGATGATAATAATAATAAAAAAATAAAACCAGACACGGAAGCAGAGGCAAAACTCCTTAGTTGTGCTCCGAGGACACGGGGTTTCTTCCGGCGGCGGATCTTAGCTGTGGGATTTCACCAAGTCACGCAACATTTGTTTTGCCGCCGTCGTGTTCCACCCTTGGCCTTTTAAAGGTCCCTCACACACGGTCACATACTTCGTTAACATGTTTTTCCCTGTTTCTTGGAAGTCCAGCCACACGCTCTGTGTTCCGCTGCCCAGGCTGCTGTCACACACAGGATCTATTGACTCAGGGCTTTCCTGCTTCCCTTCTCCCCCGTGTTTCAGTCCCCAGTAGCACATTTCTCCACTGTACATCATTGCCAGTAAGTGTGTGTCACTAAATATACCTGCAAAAATAATTTATATGGAGTACTTTATTGTTCTAAGAAAGTACACAGCTTGTTAACTTTTTTTTTTTTTAGTTTCCTGGAAAAAAATTCCAAAATGACAGTCTCAGCCTGTTAAATAGGTAAACCAAGAAACCAACTCTTAACCTTGAGATGACTGACAATGCCCAGAAGAGAACACAGATCAAGACTGTGCTTATTACTCTGTCCATTTTGGCCCTCCATAATGCTAAAATCTTTAAGATTGCCATCTAACCAAAATTCTGATAATTATGTTTGCCTATTATCGTTGAGAATTTCAGTATTACGCAAAGGTATGACTGTGCATATTTATGTTAGAATATTTCCGTGCCTCCTGTAATTCAAGACTGAAAGAAGATAGTTCTATAGATTGCTCTATAGTAATGCAACTTACATAAAGCTATATAGTGACAGAGAGAATTTGCTAAATCTGAACAGTTCTGCATGTAGTTTTTACCTGTGTGAAGTCTTTAATTCTTTGTACCTGTGTTATCCTAGAGCTAAGCAGGCAGACCAATAGGCAAACATCTAGCACCCTCTGCAGCCGTATCTGTGCCTTAAACATCTGTCAATTGTCAACTGGATGGCTGCAAAACACACATGCTCAGCATAAAACACCCGCAGTCTCAGTTCACCTTCATCCAGTGTGCTCAAAAACACAGGGAAAATGACCACCACCACTTTCTAAAATCCATGAGTCAAAAAAGAAGGGGGTGAGCACTGCTGCCTGCTTATTTGCCTCATTATTACCTTCTTGTTCTAAAAAGTGACAGGTTTTGAATACAAATTCAAAAAATGAAAACACACAAAAAACCACTTCATAAAGTGAAGCAGTTATTAAGAGGAGGGGGTTGTGGGTCAGGTTTTTTGGGGTTTGTTTACCTTCACTGAGTAATCTAGCTGTGTCTTTATCTTGAAGTAAGACATCTTCATTTAGCTGAAGAGGGCATCTAAAGCTAAGCATCTTCATCAAGTAATGAACTCCATCATTAAGACACTGAGTACGGTTAAAAACAAGGAAAAAATAAGTTCTGGTTAAATTAATGGTAGCCAGAAATACTTCTGTGAATTCCCCAAAACCCTACTAGAAAAAAAAAAAAATAAAAAGAAAAAAAGATTAAAAAGCAGCCATATTTTAAAAGTGAAGAGTCAAACTTTAAAGCTGTATTCACAAGCTCATAGAATGTTTTCATTTACTTTACCTTTTTAAACGTGGCAATGTTTCCTTGTAGCCATTCTCTCCTTTCTTTTGCTGTATGACAGTACATGTAAAGCAGGGCTCCTTTCCTCCAGTAAAGACATTCTAACAGTTCTGCACCAAGGATGTTAATGGGCTGAAATAAAATCCAACAAACTGGGCTAACACAAAAATAACCCACCTGAACTAGTCATAAACACAGTAACACATGCAAAGAGTCTCTTACTTCAGAGGCTGTACTTGACAGCAACACTCAGAAACACAAGACTAACCGAATACTGAAAACGGCCAAATCAAACTATCATTAACATGTCATACAATCGTAAAATGTCAGTGAGAGAAATTCTGAGCGCGCAACAAGTTATTTGAAACAATATTTTCAGGAATCAGTATTTAAATACAAGAAAGAGTTGAAAATCTTTCAAAATTCCTCAAGGTCTGCCCATCAAAAATACAAATACTACCATCCTGTTTCAGATTTTTTATTTTAAAATACTGAAATAATTAATCCTCTGGCTCAAGAACATCAGTACTCACTTCTTCATCTACGTTGCATTCCCTCACTAGATCTTCTGGTTCTGAAAGAATACAAATAAGTTCTTTAAGTTTTTGCAAGGAAGTTTCTTCTGGAAAATCGTCATCCACAAGCTGGTTTTCCTCAAAATACGTTATGTCTAGGACAGCCTATGAAAACAAGAAGACATACAAAGGAAAAACGCTACCGGCAAAATAATGAACTAGTGGTGTGTTGTAACATAGAAAACTTATTAGTTTATAAAACAATACAATTTGAAGGTATTTTTTTACATTTTGTTTACTAAAGGCTCAAGTTATAAGTATTGAAAGATTGCTGGCAGTGAACGTAAAGTCAAACCCCTTTCTGTCCCTAAAGTATCAGTACAATTATTCTCGACTCCCCAGTTATCCAAGTCAACTGCAGCCATGTGCTTCGCAGATGTTCACCGTACAAACCAAGTAACAAGATATCCTTTTCTGCTCTATCCTCCTTTTTACATCAAAGCTTCTCTCACAATATACACAGATTTTCTTGAAAGTCAGCTTGATGGTTTAAATACAATACCTGGGTATAGAGCTGAAAAAGAGCAGAAGGAGGCTCTTTCCCTTCGTTACAGAGGTCCTTCAGCTTCTCCAGAGCAGCTGAGCCTTTTGCTAGGAAGGTATCTGAAGGAAGAACACAATGCTTCCTTAGCACTGAAAGGCACTCAGCAGGAGCCTCGCTTCCTCTCCTTTTTCACATGGCTTCATCCACCCTCGCGGTATTTACAACAGCAGCTGGGTAACACAGCGCTTAAGCAAGCCAGCTGTCCTGTTAGCCCGCACCTTTCACAATTAAACTGAGGGCATCCGCGGCACGCTCCGCTGTTCCCAAGCCGACCCCCACGCTCCGTTCGCGGGGATGCCCTACACCCCGCCCTGAGGGCCGCCCTCCGCCTGGTTCTCGGCCCGTCCCCCCTCGCAGTGCCGCTCACCGTCCCCGGCCGCGCCCCGGGGCGCCCAAGCCGCCGCCCAGCGCCGCCAGCCGGGGCCGCAGCGCGGGCACTGCCGGCAGCGCCATGGCCGCGCCCGCGCACACGCGCAGGCGCAGCGGGGCCGCGCCGGCGGGCGGGAGCGGCGGGCTGTGGCACAGCAGGGCCGCGGGAGCGGGCGCGGTGCCGGGCGTCGGGGCTTGCCTCGCCTCCCTCAGCTCCCGCCCCGCCGGGACAGCCCTGCGCGCAACGAGGGCCGCGAGGGCAACTCTGTTTGTGTGGAGGTGTGAAAGCTCTTGAATAACAGGCGTCCAGGGCGTCTGCGGATCCGTGTCACGGTCCCCCGGGGAGAGTCGCTCGCGTGAGCCTGTATCAGCAGAATTTATGTAGTGAGAACTTACATGTTGGAAAAGATCTTTGGGATCATCCAGTCCAAGCTATGACCAAACACCGACATCTCAACTAGACCATGGCACTTAGTGCCACGTCCAGTTTTTCCTTAAACACCTCCAGGGGCGGTGACTCCACCACCTCCCTAGGCAGCCTATTCCACTATTTAGCCACTCTTTCCCTGAGGAAATTCCTCCTAATGTCCAACTGAAACTTCCCCTGGCACAGTTTAAGACTGCATGCTCCTGTCTTGTCTCGAGTTGCCTGGGAGAAAAGACCGATCCCCTCTGGCTATAGCCTCCTTCCAGGTGTTTGTAGAGAGTGATGAGGTCACCCCTGAGCCTCCTCCAGGCTAAACAACTCCAGCTCCCTCAGCTGCTCCTCGCAGGACTTGTGCTCCAGACCCTTTGGCAGCCTCCATGCTCCGTGCTCCAGCACCTCAATGTTCTTCATGGATTGAGGGGCCCAGAACTGGACACAGGACTTGAGATGTGGCTTCACCAGTGCCAAGTATAGAGGGAGAATGACATCCCTGGTTCTGCTGGCTACACTATTCCTGATACAGGCCAGGATGCCGTTGGCCACCTGGGACACAGCTGGGCTTTGTTCAGCTGGCTGATAACCAGCACCCCAAAGTCCTTTTCTGCTGAAAAAACTTGATGGGGGTGCTGTCCCCATCAAGTAATGCTTTCCAGTGTCCCTGTAAAATAGGTGTTACCCATAAGCAAACTGAAACAAAGGCAGCAAGGATCAAACAGTGTATTTATCAATAAATGTTGTTTGTTTGTTTGTTTGTTTTTAAACTTACACTTTAGTGTTGAATTACTTATCATGCAGAGGTACAGCTGCGAGAGTACACTTAAATCATCCTGAGACCACATACTTTTTGTTAGAGGAATCAGGCACTTTCTCCAACATTTTGTCCAGCTTCAAACAGCACTCTTCATGAACTTCAGAAGTTATGAGTAGTTTTCCTTTTATTTGTAACAAAATCTTGCTACTATGTGACAGTAAATCATGCACTATTTTGTGTTGTTTAGTTATAATAATACTGCATTTCACTATACTGTTTCCCTAGCCTTCACCATCTCTTTACCTGCCTGGAAAAAGCTAATGCATCAATGTCTGTTGGAGTAATGTGTCATGAACTCACACAATATTCACGATATTTTTACTTGAATATTTTAAAAAAAAGTTTACTAAAGACATTCTCCCCTTTTCAAGTCATATACTGTTCATCCTGTTAGAGCTTGTGACCCACTAAAGTACTTAAGAAAAAGGTGCAATTTACTTGGGTACTTTAGGCCATGAAAAGCTGTCTACTTGCAGGCACAGATGTTTTTGCTGTTGTCTGTCTTATGAAAGAGTTGCCAAACAGATCAAATACAACAAAAAATGTAGAACTTAAAAGGCAAAATTGCATCTGCTTCCAGAAACGGTTCGATTTATAGAAGAAACCCGTGTTTTGATTGGATATGTATTGTTGTTCATTCCTGCATGGTCAATAGTCAGATACAATTTTTCATCTAAGGAACAGCCAATACTAAAAGTATTCTGGTAGTTAACTATATCCCATCTGTGAGTGGAAGAGGTGGTGCTTCATGTCTTAAGTAAAATACAATGCTTTCCATGTTGTCATCTTTGGGACTGAAGAATGCCTGCGACATTGACAAGTGCCGTTCTTCAGGTCATTTGCTTGCTTGGTCCTGCCCTTACTTCTCTGTTCCAATACCCAGCTATGATTTAAATGTTGCTTTTTTTCACAGTTAGTCAAGTGGGCAGGTGTGTCAGCCCTTAATAGTGAAGGAGACATCATCCAGCTTTCAAGATGTGTCCTGTAAAAAACTAAAAAATTAAACCCCGCGAAGCAACCCAAAACAAAACAAAACACCAAATGGTTGTGTGCTGACTCATTTGATAAAGGAAGTGGTGTTTTCTTCCTGTGCCTCAGGCACTGCTGCAGCTTACTTTAGCTCTGTCTGTTTTGAAAGCTGGATGTATACGCAGTGACTGTTTTTTTTCCAGAAATGGTTATCCATGCTTTCTTTAAATATATAGTGAAATCTGGCTTTGACCTTATCAGTGCCTGAAATGGAAGAGGTGTGTGGCTGTTAATATCAGGTTGGGAAAATAGAATTTGCTCCCAATTTTTAAAAAGAGGGTGATGCACAGTTCTCTTGGAAGATTTGTAGGGGGTTAGGTTTTAATTTCCCCAAACCTGATTTTGTCATGAAATGTGTGAGGGAGCAGAAGACACCTCTAGTGGCATTTTTCTTGTATTATACCTTACATACTCCCACTGGGAGATGGTTTGTGAGAAATAGAGGTGACAGGACTTCTGGGCAAATACCCAAGAGACTGCAGAGCCTGGAAGAGGGGCTGGGCTGAACTAGGATGGGGGTGGTGCCTCCTCACTGCAGTGGGGGGGAGCCTTCACCCCTCCCTGGCAGGGAGCTCTGCCTCCCTCCTGGGTGGAGTAGCCTCTGGGCAGCCTGTGTCCTTCCTTTCTTACCTCAAAGCTGTATTCCCTTTGCCACTAAACCTGCAAGTTAAATTTTATAATATGTGGAGCTGCCATGGTAGTCTTTTCCCACACCTTCCAAAGTGCTTTGGTGTCAAGAGTGGTGAAAGATAAGGTGTCTGATTGAGGGAATGGTGATTTCAGTTTGCCTTTTGTTTTCACTAAGAATCTGTTCAAATAAACTCCCTGCCAGATATTTGAAAGCCAGTGGCCCAGTTAGGGCTTTACTGCCTCTCACTGTTCTTTTCAGGGCTTGGAAATCTTAACGTTCAGATTTTTAGAGCTTCACACAAAGTTGCATCCCAATATTTTTCTGAAAAATTCTGATGTTTAAGAAGAAACATTCTTTCTGAGTGACACAACATAAATTATGTTGTAGCAAAAAATGTTTCACTCCATATTCTAGGGAACAGTTAAAGTAGGGTAAAATGATCTCAGATGAAGGGATCCATGTGGGATTTGTGATCTGTCAGTGCCTACAACTACCTGGTTTTAAGGCTGCTGTTACTAATGAGGGAAGGTGTAGGGTGCTGACTGTTTAGAGACAGGCTCTGTTCCTAAATTGGTGGAAGAAAACAGGAAAAGTGTGGTGCCAACAGTTGTGGTTGATGGAAGAGAGAAAGCTGTGATTTTGTCCTTCAGAGGCATTGCCACAACTGTTTTCTTTTTTGGGATTTGTATATAAATCTTTCTCTATATATGCAAAGGTATATATGGTGTGAGTGTAAATTAGGTTCTGTAGATTGCTGCAGTAGGTTCTGATGCTTCTTTCCTTCCAAACCCTTAACTCTTCCTGTCCTTCTTGAGATGTGTGTGTAAATGTGTATGCTGCTAGAGAACAGGCTGGTTGTAATTAAACATTTGGAATTATTTTTGTCCTATATATTCTGTCAACACTTACTAAGTGCTCTAATATATGTAACTGTGAAAGTGGGCTAGCCTGATGTCTCTGAATACCTGAAAACTTTGAACATACTAGAACAAGTAATGTCTTGGATATACATAATTGTCCTACTTTAGTAGTTCTAGGACAACTTCTTTTTGTATTGAAAATTAAACAGAGCTTAAAACACAAGAGTGTCGTTCCTTTGTATATTTAATATTATTTAAACTAGGGAAATGTTTTTAGCTGTAATTAAAAATACAGAGTCATTTAAAAAAAGCAGATTTGCGCAGCAATGACTGATACATTTTTATCATTATTAGCAGCTTCAAGAACTTGTAAGTTTTGCAGGTTGTGCAAATTTTCTTGAACTAGGGCACTTAAAATAGGTGATAATGAACTCGTACAAATTCTTGGAGAAAGTAGCCAAGACAGGAATTTTAGTGGGTTCGAGTAAGTTCATGTTCATAGAATCACAGAATACTGCAGTTTGGAGGGGACCTGTAAGGATCAGGAAGTCCAAATCCTTAATGCCCAACGTGAACTTCCCCTGATGCAGCTTCATTCCATTTCCTCAGGTGCTGTCACTGGTCACCAGAGAGAGGAGATCAGCAGCTTCCCCTCAGCTGCCTCCTCCACATCCAGTGGGGAAGGTGTAGACTGCTGTGGGATCCCCCCTCAGCCTTCTGATTGTGGATGTTTTGTTCTCTAGGAAGAAAGCTGAAAGAAAGAGGTTTTACTTTCAGCAAATTAGTCCTCTGAGCAGAGGTTACTAAGCCTGATGATGATCACTTGATTACTTACTGCTTTCTTTGGTTGTGAACTGACTCTTAATGTTTAAAAAAAAAAAAAAGAGGAAGAAAAGAGTGTGTGTGAAGGTGGAAGTAGTTAGTAATGGAAAAATTGAATGGAATTAGAGAGATGGAAACCTACATCAGACCTATTCAAATAGGACTCAAATGATGTCAGACATTATCCCTTATCTGGCAGATTCCTAACAGTTTTAGAGTTTGTGGTCAAATTTTGTATTTGAAATGAACAGAGAAGACATCATGGATATTAACACAGAAGTATTTGGCTAGTTTGAGTTTATAGCAAGTGAATCAAGTATAGCATGCTTCAAGTCCTGTAGAACCTGGGAGAAATGATAATACTGTATTTGGTACAGCATCTTAGAACGATGCTGAATTACTATAATTTCAAGGCACATATTTTGACTCTTGGGGTGGTCCTGTACAGGGCTAAAAGTTGGACTCCATGATCCTTGTGGGTCCCTTCCAATTCAGCATACTCTGTGTTTCTGTGATTCTGTGAAATGTATGCCTTTAATAATGAGTGGCCCTCATAAATTATAATAGGTAATTTAAGTGTTGGACTGCAGTCTCTGAATTCTATACAGCAATTATAACTGAGACAGATGTGAGTTGACTTAGAAATTATGAGATAGGCATATTCATCTATACGATAGGTTTCACAAATGTATTAAATCTCTGGTAAAATACTTAAATCAGGAACATATTTATAAAATATTAGGCAGTAATGGTGTATTTTTGTTAGCAAAGAAATGAGACTGACTTACCTTCTTTGTTTTTTTTTATTTATGAAAATTGCTAACTTTGACAGTCAATAAAAGCATAACTGCCTAAATCGATAAATGCCATTT